TTGGGGTCTGTAATATTTTTTACATGTTTTTGAAAGAAGTCTCATAATCACCATGACCATTTATTAGATCAAAAATGCAGGAAAAGCAGTAATATTGTGAAATGTTATAACAGTTAAGAATTACTGTTTTCTATTTGAATACATTTAAAAAAGTAATTCATTTTTGCAATGGCAAAGCTGGATTTTCAGTATGCTGAAGAAAAATTTCTTATTATTGTCAGTTAAAGACAGTTGTGCTGCTTAAAGCACAATATATAATTTTCGCCGCTAGAGGGCGTGTATTCAAAATAAGCAAAGAGGCAAAGGCAAAATGTGGAATCATGGGAGTTGTCCTCTTCATCCCCACAGCCGATGCAATCCGACGGGACTCGGGCAGAAATCATGTTCATGGATGAGCTAATGATTTGTTAACGTAGTAGAATGAAGCAGGGTGAGGCGGAAAGCTGTTGAAGCGAAACGAGGTTGCTGGACGAGCGTGACACACGGCTCGAAAGCAGCAGAGCTTTTATTATGCCACAATTGACCACTTCCGCTCCTTCCGGTCTCGCGTATGTGGGGGAAAAAAAGCAGCGCTGTTTTATCATACTAAATACATTTGAAAGTTCTGTTACATGGTCGTCACTGGTCTATTAAAACGCACAACATATTAAAGCGTTTTTTGGTGTTTCCATATTTTCTACAAAACGCTGTCAATCGCCGGATCGGCTTTCACCGTGGACGAGTCCAGCCCGGGGTCGTCACATGTGGTTGCCGCAAGCCCACCCGCTGCCGCCGCTCACTCAGGCCGGCCTCCGCTCACTCTAGGCCTTTGGCCTCTGCTCAATCTAGCCCGCCGTGTGTGACGCGAGTCATTATAATCCGTAATTATGTCCCCACTGGATGCAACAAATGCCTCGTTTATAATGGGTTTTAATGTTTTTGTCTCGTCGCTCCGGCCGGACAGGCCATCACAGTATGGTAGGGGCAAAATAATGTTCTTTTTAGCAACATCATATGACCCCTTTAAACATTCTTCGAAACATTTGGGATAATGTAAGTACACAAGTCAACAGAATATACAGTATAACACTGTTCTAGTGGTTTTTGGATATTTTAATAAAAATATCTTACATATTGTGCCTTTAAATATTTTAGTGGGAACCATGATACTTTAAGAATTCCTAAAATAAAGTTAGAACGGCACTTATTTGCAATATTTTGTAACATTATAAATGTACTTTACTGTCAATTTTGATCAGTTTGATGAAAAAAAAACACTTTCATTCTTCCATTTTTTTTTTCTTTTAAGTGAGAAATTAGTATAAATTATTTTCTGTGATAAGTATGCCTTATGTATATTTTTCTCCCATAGACAAATTAGACCAGAGCTTCTGCTTCCTTTCAGATGACGAGGCTGAAGATGATGATCAGGTAATGTGAGCTAATCACTTTCTAATTCAGTAACAAATCAGTAGAGAGTGAACTAACGTTTTCTATTTCTGAATTACAGACGGTCAAGAACAGATCTGTCCTTAACAATCATTGTAATGTCTCTAAACAGTGAGTTTTCCATGTTTTCCTTTTACCTGTCACTAGATGGCAGTAACAAGTCGATGAAATGCTCCATTGTACCCAGTCATTTGATGGACTGTCTGTTTGCAGGCCGTGCATCCTCATCATGGACTCCCTCACCTGCGGTGGAAGATCATCAGTGGTGCAGATACTCCAAGAGTGATTATCTTCTTTTGTTTCAAGTGCTTGATTATTTTTGCACCTGTGCGTTAATAGCGAGCACACATTTTCACTTGTGCTTCTGTATCCTGCATTAGGCAGCAAACGTCACCAATTAACGACCGTTTCCTATGAGACAAAATGCTGTCTTCCTCAAGGGGGAGTTGGCAGCTCAGAAAGCCGCGTCCTTCACTGGACCACATTCAAATCTCACTGGAGACGCTTGTATGCTAGAAAGAATAATTTGTTTAAATCAATTCCAAGGACTCATTGCTGATACACAAATGGAAATCTGCTTCCAAACCGAGCAAACCTCATGCATGTTAGCCGGCTAGTTATATTTACCTGGGTGGCATATAGAAACAGTGTGATTACACCAAACAGTGTAATACTTGACCATAAATAAATAAAAAAATTAAATATGATTAATGAATGCAAGACAACATTGCCATTCTAGCCACTTATTTTCTGTAAATCCAAGGTACTTACAAGAGGAATGGAAGGTCAAAATGGGCTCTGAACAGAGTTTTGGAAATGGAGTGATGGATGGATGGAGTCCCATCGTCCCAAAGCAGGATAACTATACAGACTGTGGCATCTTCCTTCTGCAGTATGTGGAGAGCTTCCTCAAGGTATTTTGATGAGCATCTGTTTCATTCTAAAGTTTAGTTTTTTCTGTATTTAAAAATTCTGTTCTTATTCATTGTTTTAGGACGCACCACAATCTTTCCATCGCAGCATGGACCTGAATGGCTGGTTTTCACAGAGGACAGTGAAGAGGAAAAGGAGGCAAATCAAACGGCTCATTCTCAGACTTCACAGGCAGCAAAAAGTTTAATTTTTTCAGGTCATATACTTCCTACAGATAATTTATTGTTACCACAAAAACCGTTACAACCCTTCCTTCAGGATTTTTTTAATGGAAGGAAATTAAATTAGCAAAAAATGGTTGCTTTAAATTAATAATATTAAAATTAATATGTAATTTGCTTTGGAAATGGATGATTTGTTCTTGAAATTCAATAAAATAATAGTTGTATATAGAATCTATCAAAATTAAATGGCCAGATGCTGAATCTCAAGTATGAGTTTTTTTTTTAAAATTGTATTTGTTGTATGAATTATTAATTGTATTGATAAGTGTGTAATTTCTAAACGGAATTGCAAAAATAACAATTTTCCAGCAGGTTTCCCTAAATGGTTAGTCTCGTCCCAAACCCATAACATTGGTGAGCTTTACTGTGCTGGTTGAGATGCTCAAATAAACAGCAGTTCTGTGAATTCTTCAAGGAAATTAGTTTATATATGGCTTATATGTAGCTGTCTATGTAGTATTATGTTTAAAAATGACAAAGTCACATCTATGCCATAGCAAAAAGACAAAGAGCCCTTGCTGTTTCCTTAAACAATCCGAACATTAAGATTTCATTCCTGTGGTTAAAGGCCCAAATTTAAGTACACATAAAATGAATAAACAAATCCCTTCCCCAAGAACATGGCTTATGCATATTCTAAACTCATTAATTCTCCCAGACTTGCTTCCGTCTCTGCTGGAGGGCAGAATTTTTGCCTGTTCATGCAGATGATCAGATTGGCATCCCGCACGATCAAGACAGATGACCGTCTGCCTCCCAATACTCAAATTGAAATGCTTGATGTATTCTGTGTTTCAACTTGGGCAAGAATTTTTGGAGTATAATGAACCACCTGATCCCTGTGCATAGTATTCAAGACTGGGGAAATCAAATGCAAAAAAATAAGAATAATTTGTTTAAAATATATCGGCTTGACCAAACCAAATATTAGTGTTTAATTACATATAGTGGTTACAGTCCTTCTTTAAAGGGTTAATGTGCACACTGTAGCAAGTATGAGAATTACAAGCATATGAACTACACAAGTCAAAAGTTATTGAACCGTAAGATTTTTTGTTTTCTGCTCACCAAGCCCGCATTTATTTGATCCAAAGTACAGCAAAAACAGTAACATTTTGAAATATTTTTACTATTTAAAATAACTAAAAAATTTGCTGCTCAAAACATCATTATTATTATTATTATTATTATTATTTTGAAAACCGCTGAGCAAATGAGAATTTTTTTTTTCAGGTTTCTTTGATAATTCTTTGATTCAGAAGAACAGCATTTATCTGAAATTGAAATCTTTTGTAAATGTGTAATTGTTTATCATTTTATCATCATTCTGATCAATTTAAAGCATTCTTGCTAAATAAAAGTATTAATTTGTATAATCCCTCCCAAAAAAAATAAATAAATACTGACTCCAAGCTTTTGAATGGTACAGTGTATAATGTTACAAATGCTTTTTATTTCAGATAAATGCTTATCTTTGGATCTTTCTATTCATTAAAGAATCCTGAAAAAAAATTCTCAACTGTTTTAAATATTGATGATGGTAATAATAATAATAATAATAATGTTTCTTGAACAGCAAAAAAATCAACACATTGGAATGATTTCTGAAGGATCATGTGACACTGAAGACTGGAGTAATGATGCTGAAATTTTAGCTTTTTTGATCACAGGAATGAAATTACATTTAAAAAATATATTCAAATAGAAAACAGTTATTTTAAATAGTAAAAATATTTCACTATTATTGCATTTGCTGTATTTTGGATCAAATAAATGCAGGCTTGGTGAGCAGAAGAGACTTCTTTAAAAAACATGAATGATGCATTTACACTGAACAAAATTATAAACGCAACACTTTTATTTTTGCCCCCATTTTTCATGAGCTGAACTCAAAGATCTAAGACTTTTTCTATGTACACAAAAGGCCTATTTCTCTCAAATATTGTTCACAAATCTGTCTAAATCTGTGTTAGTAAGCACTTCTCTTTGCCGAGATAATCCATCCACCTCACAGGTGTGGCATATCAAGATGCTGATTAGACAGCATGATTATTGCACATGTGAGCCTTAGGCTGGCCACAATAAAAGGCCACTCTAAAATGTGCAGTTTTACTGTATTGGGGGGTCCGAAAACCAGTCAGTATCTGGTGTGACCACCATTTGCCTCACGCAGTGCAACACATGTCCTTTGCATAGAGTTGATCAGGTTGTTGATTGTGGCCTGTGGAATGTTGGTCCACTCCTCTTCAATGGCTGTGCGAAGTTGCTGGATATTGGCAGGAACTGGAACACGCTGTCGTATACGCCGATCCAGAGCATCCCAAACATGCTCAATGGGTGACATGTCCGGTGAGCATGCTGGCCATGCAAGAACTGGGATGTTTTCAGCTTCCAGGAATTGTGTACAGATCCTTGCAACATGGGGCCGTGCATATCATGCTGCAACATGAGGTGATGGTCGTGAATGAATGGCACAACAATGGGCCTCAGGATCTCGTCACGGTATCACTGTGCATTCAAAATGCCATCAATAAAATACACCCGTGTTCGTTGTCCATAACATACGCCTGCCCATACTATAACCCCACCGCCACCATGGGCCACTCGATCCACAACGTTGACATCAGCAAACCGCTCATCCACACAACGCCATACACGTGTAGGGTATCAGACTGAATCAGACAATTTAAGATTCGATCAAGAACATGGTTGAAACACGAGGAACCGAATTCCACAGAAAGACCCAAGACACAGGATGTTCGTAAATCAGATCCTGGCGCCACAAGCCTGAAGCAAGTCCACCAACTAGCAGCTTTGAGTAGCTCACAGCATTTAAACAAAAGAACACTTATTGACAATTCCAAGGAGATTGTCAATTTTGGGGCAAGTAATCAAGATTAATGGTCTCAGATGCACAGCATGACCATCACATGTGAACCAGTGATAGTAATCACGATCACAAGCTCTTTGGATTGACTTCCCCCACCTAGAAGACAAAGACCAGACTGAGATCCCTTAAGGCGGGCGTACACGGTGCGACTCTGAAGGTCGGAACATCGTGAGCTCTGGCAAATGTCACGATTGAGTTTATCCGAAAATCGTACAGAGGCAGTCACACACGACACAAATTTACTACGATTTTACAAACTCTGACGTAAGCATTACGTTTCGCGCCATTCATAAAAATATGGATTCTGAGGACGGAATCGTTTTCCTTGTGGCAGGCGGCTTGACGTACAAAAAAAAAAAAAAACCGAAGACAAAGGACATGGCAAAGAGAATGGCTGAAATGGCTCATTTTACCAGAAATAAAACGGGCATATTCATTCACAAAGCTATATTCGGAATAACAAATAAAAAATAGAACTGTATAATTCAACTAAAATTATTTTGGACTATATGTTTTTTGTCATCTCCTGATTGGTCAACTTCAGATGGATCGCCAAATCGTCTCGTTCAACCGCACATACGCCACGAATTTAAACCGACAGCATCCGATTTTTCTTGACATGTTTGAAAATTATCGGGAGGACGGGTGGTGCTCGTAACGTCTCGGATCGGCCCGTAATTCTTCTCATACGGTACGAGCCGCGAGCATCTGCGATTTTTCTCCCGAGAGAAAAAAATCGCCTGCGAGCTCATACGACAGCAAAAATCGCACCGTGTATGCCCGCCTTTAGGAGACCTTTTAACCTCTGGTCTTCACAGAACATGTCCACATACATGCACAGAAACTGCCTTTCCATGTATATATGCACCTAAATGACACTAAAAGGACTTGTGAGCAACTAATCATTTCTATGCATAACTCCATATTATGTATCTCTAACCCACACATTAGACTATCATGTTTTAATCACGTATTGTGTATGTCTTTTTAATAACTATTGAATAACTTCATATTCATGTTTAGTATGTGTGTGTTTGAATCTTCTTGCTTGAAACGTTTCTTCCAATCAATTCTTTGTCAAATGTATCATATTCTTGTTATAGAAATCATGTCCAACATTATACTCTGCAAGAGCGGGAAAACTCAGACCATGTGACTGATGAGATAACATTTGATTTATGAATTGGGAGGAGGAATATAGCAACCCCCCGAGCTAAGACGGTGTCTAATTGGTCAAAACACCATTTGGGATGTGGCCAACAACCCGGTTTAAATACTCAGGACACCATCAAATTATGCTTTTTTTTAGTCATGTCTTTTTAGCTTTTGGCTTTTTGCGTCTAGCTTTTAGTTTTTCGCGCTTTTTAGTTATGTGCTTTCAAGTCATCACTTTTAGCCATGCGGCTTTTTAGTCATAGCTTTGAGCTATGCTTTTTAGTCATTGCCTTTTTAGCTCTTTAGCTTTTTTGGTCATGGCTTCTAGCCGTGTTTTTCAGTCATCGCTTTTTGCGCTCTTTGAGCGTGCTCTGGCTTACATACCAGCTCCTCCAAAACCATGAGGAGAAACGCCACCTAGTCTCGTCAAACTTTACTTCTATTTCTTTACTTTAGTTTATTTTCTTTTCCGTTGAGAGTTTCGTGTTCTGAGTTAAGTTTTGCCTATGGCCGTGTCTCCGAGTCCGACCTCGAGTCCCGTCTAAAACTTCAACCAGCCCACAATTCTGCGTCGTCAGCCAACACCCAACCACTGGCTTCCCAAGACTGAACTTCCAGCCAATCAGCAACTGTGGGAAACCCCCTTTTTTGCAAGGATGACAACAAAGGGAACCCCCGTACACAGGCAACGCAAGTACCTCCAGATTCTAGCTGAACTGGTGCATTTAATATAAATTTTAACCTCCTTGAGGAACTCAATGCGAGGGTTAAGTGATTGATGGTTGTTCAGGTCTATGCAATTGCACATTGCTGTAAACTTGGGATTTCACATTTTCATTTCCTTAAACTCATTATTTCCTTACTTTCTCGCTTTCTGCAACTTGTGTGAATGTGTGAAAGCCTTATTTATATTGAAAAGAGAAGTATCTTGTGTTTTGTGCTTACAAGTTAATGTCTTAAACTGCCGATCTTGTTCCTGAGCTAATTAATAGTTTTCACTATACTTCGGATATT